TTAGAAAAAAAGAACATTTTCTATAACCGATTGTACAATACGAGATTTAAACATATACTTTCTAACAGTCATATATTATAAAAAATAGCAAGTCGAAGTGGCAATAAATTGGCTTTTCAAAAATTCCAATCGATAATTGCCCCAGCATAGAATAGGTCACCTCTTCTTTTTCCGTGGGTGCCGTAAAAGGCCACTAAGGGACGCAGCGTCTTAAAATATCACTAAGAGCCTAACTGCGGTTGCCAACTCGCCTGCCAAGCGTGGTAACTACTGGTTAAACTTCTCTTATGGATAAGGCTTATATTCAGCAGTGGACATTTAGCAGTTGATATAATGAATCGAAAATTTATTAGAACGATATGCTCTTAAGTAACGAAATCATATAGAAAGGCTGTGTAGAACAACTCCTTAGAATGATGACCTCTAATATTTTGTAAGAGTCAATGGATAGAAATGACCTAGAACCATCAACAGTTTATGAAAAAAATTTATGTTAACAAATTGACAATTATTAATGTTGATAATAACAATGTAAGATAAAGTAATTAACTACTACTAAGGTAGTAAATGTTTTATATGGCCTCTACTTATTATTGGTTATTGGTCCACAATAGTTTCCATTTTACATGGCCTTCCGCTCATATTTCAATCAACGCATCTTTTAGTTGTAATATTAAACAAAACTGTTGACTTTTAAAAAGCTAACACATTGATAATGCCCTTTATAAAGTTTATATACTGACGTTACAAGTTTTTTTGATATATTTTTATTAGATGTAGTATCAAAGTTTCTGGCAAAAATGGATACGTTCATTGTAATTTTTGTTTACGTTTCTCAAAAGTTACTCATTGAACTTTAGCAAAAAATCGTAATCCAAATACGAAGAAAGATTGGCTAAAATCCAAGTTCAGAATGAATATTTATTAATAGAATGTTTGTGCATAAAAATAAAATATTGGTAATTTGAATTAATAAGACGTTTTAACCGTAATATGCTTATTTAAGCTTTGTGATATTTATAATACTGTAGGCGTAGACTTCCATTATTTACAAGGGAAAAATATATAAAAATAAAAAGTACAAGTATCTATTAATCTGAAATATACAACTAACGTGGCAACTACTAGCAAAATCCCTCTTTATAGAGCAGACCTATGTTTAGCAGCAGACCGTTAACGGCTGATATGATGATGATGATGATGATGATGCAACTAACGATGATTATTTATATCGGTTTATGGATAAGCCTTATGTTGAATATTAAACAATGTATGACTAAAACGAACGTATACAACACAAAACAAACAAAAATATCACAAAAATATATAATACTGTACGAAATGTTGAAAAATACGTCACTGCAAAAACATTTTGCTTAAAGAAACGTTGATGGAAAAATAAAAAAAAATTTCATTTACCTTACTAACACGATGCGTCCAGTCGTCAGTCAATTTCTTGTAATTTTACGATCTTTAGGAAAAAATCTTTAGTTTCTCTGATAAAACACTTACTTAAACGTTTTTGATTTCACTCTATTTAAACATACATTCAGCCATCTTAACTTCGCGACTCTAGAGATCTTACTTGGTATGAACCATCATCCTGACTTGATTTATTGCAAGTCTCTCTAATGACCGTAATGAAACTGTGACTAAATAAAGGAGCGGACATTACACGCGAGCTCAGCTTTGCAGCTGATGAATATTTTATGTAAAAATCCCGGCAACTTACTTCTTTAAGAGCAATCTCAGACGTTGTCAAATAGGAATCTTGAGAATTATTTCAGACCGAATTGAATATAAAGACGCATTTGCAAATTCACTATGATGGTTTGGTGTCACTTAGTTATGAAATAAGGATGTCTTTTATGATTAATATTGTTTACTTTCTTTTAATACAACTTCAACTGGTAAACATGCTGACAATCCATTTAATGGAAAATAGTAGGTAACTATTGCATATAAACATGAACTGCGGATATTGCAAAATACATTGTGGTAGATACATGTAACACCAACTTTTGTGTGGTCATTCTTCAAGATTAGTGTACTACGAATTCGTAATTTTATTGATAAGAAGCATTCTTTAATTTGCATGGTGCTTCATATCTATAGAAGGTAATTACCACTGTCCATTCGATAGGTTAATAACCTATATGCCACTTTATGTTGTACAAGAATCTCGTAATTTATTATTTCTTAATTTCTTCTATTATATCACTATGCTAATGATATCAAAATTAAAGTTTTGTAAATGACAATAATTTTACATTAATGTAACCTTAACTATAATTTAACCATATATAAGATATTTTATCATTTTTCAATTAGTTATAAAACTTTTTTAGTCAAAAGTGACAAAGCACTCACTATAAATCCCTGAAGGATATACGGTCACAAATCCTGCCTGAAGGTAACCTTTTTCAATCTAACTTACGTACTTATTTCGACCCGTTATGGTTCCAGGAAGATTATTCTTGTTCAAGCGAGCTCATAAAGGAGGAGATTCTCAATTCGTCTGCATTTATACATATGTTACATAATATCTCTCTGATTTTGAATAATTTTAATATTTTTTTTGTCATTTCATATTTTTTATGCATTGTTTAAATAAATCAAAAATGTTAATTTCGACTATGAGTTTATTTCGATTTAATAGTTACATTGGCATCGAAATAATGAAGCTAAATGATAATTATATGAGAATAATTGCAGAAGAGTCAAAGTGGATAATATAGGTCGGTCATACAGGTCAACGATGGGGAAAGAAAGATTCTTGAGTGACAATCCTGTATACATTGTGTAGAACATGGTCCAAGAAGGGATGTCGGGATGTTTCAAATGATACTCAATTAATAATATATGCCGACGATACCAATGCCATAATCTCCGCTATGGACATAAAGGACCTAGAAATAAAAATCAATAATGTTATAGCTCTCTTACATGAATGGTTTTCTGTTAACAATTTATAACTAAATATAAACAAAACATGTGTCTTACTATTTAAGTCAACTTCTAAAAATAAGGATACTTTGGAAATATACCTGAATGGTAATAATATCAAAGTTGTTAATGAAATTAAATTTCTAGGTGTAAAGATACATTCTGTACTGAAGTGGAAATCTGAGTTAGACTCTATAACTAAATCAGTTAGTGCATCATGCTATGCTTTGAGATATTTGAGGGATATGTTAACTGTTAATCAACTCAAATCAGTCTCAAATTCAAAATCAATCAAAATTTAGACACAGCATTAAACTGTGGGGAAACAGCTATAATTATAATGTGGAAAGGGATTTCAGGTTGCAAAAAAGAGCAATTAGTACTATCGTAAGTAAGATCGTCACTCCACCTAGTGGCGTATCCATCAGGGCTCTATCTAGTAGTAATTTCACAATTGCGTCATTTGGTAAATTTTTACTGAAATAATTTCAATACCGTCGGAAAAGTAATACTGAAATGAAATTCGAATGGAAGCAATTTGTGACGCAATAATATAAATTAGTAATTATTTTAAATGTAAAAATATTAAGTTACTGTAGTAATTATTTTATGCAAAGCGTATATAAAAAGGAATTGTCTACATAAACAATTATTTGAAGAAAAAAAACATGAATACAACTAATTTATCGTCCACTTTTCAATATGAATTTTGTAACTAAGAGACGTGGAATCGAATTCTATCGAATACAACAGTCGTTTGGCTGCTCTATCTGACAGGATTCGAACTTGCCATTACTATATAAACAGATAACATCTGTAATTCCGTACGTACGATCTCACGTCACATGTTAAGTATAACACTCGTAATAGACCGTTCCGAGTACGATGTGCTCCTTTTTCGGAAGGACACATTTGACAACACCAGCATAGATGGGAGGGGAGATTTATTTTCAGTATGAAAAAAGGAATAGGACTAGGTCGTCGGATCGACGGACTATGTGGAGTATATTACATATACTGTATTTTCAGTAAGTAGATAGCTGAAATTTTCTAGTCTAATCTTAACATATAAAAATCTCGTGTCACGTATACGTTAAATTAAGGAAATTTTTAAATATGTTTTGTTTACTCCAAAATGGGAGACAGGGTAATATTCAATCAGTCAATCAATAATTTATTTGCATTGCATAATGTACAGCTGAGTTTTACATGAATCGAACGCATTATATTTACAAATATAATTAAATAATTCAAATATTGTTTATACTAATAAGTCATTAAACATATTAATGTTATAATAACACTGATAAATCAATAGTGCAGTGAACTCTTTCTTTAATTTGTCGAAACAAAAATCTTTTAAATAGTCAAGTTATTAATAAAATGCAATTTCTATTATAATATATACTATTGGGAGCACAACAGTGTCATCATCATCATCATCATCATTATGAGCCTTTAACTGTCCACTGCTGAACATAAGCCTCCCCCTAGGGGTTTTTACCAGTAGTTATCATGCTTGTAAGGCGAATTGGTAACCGCAGTTTGGCTTTGAAGATGTTTTAAGAGGGGCGCTGCTGCTTAACCCTCGTTCTTTCTTAGTCGTCTCTTACGACACCCAAGGGAAAAGAAGGGGTGACCTATTCTATGCGGGGACCACACGGAAACAACACAAACACACAACAGTGTATTTGACTTTAACTATACTAACAGTTTTACATTTATACACTGAGTGATCATAATATATTAATTATATTGTGATTACTTAAAACAGTCGCGTGTTTTTACTAAATTTTAATTTACTAAATAAACAAGAATTTTGTTTAACAAATATTGCTACTTCAAGAATATATAACGAAAGTACTGCAAGAATTTTCAACATTTTAAAAGCTGAATCACAACTGTCTCGTATCTTCAGACAACACATTTAACCTGACACATTTTTATCCCGATAAGAAAAATATGGACCTGGTGGGTAGCGGTAGAAGACAAAACAACGTCTGCCGGCTTAGCTACTATTTATGTAAATATAAATTAAAATAATCTTGACTCACTTGGATTTATGGCGTGCCCTTCATCAACTGTGTGGAGGGATAAATGTAGCAGCAGGATCAAGGCAGTAGACGTCTGAAAAATAAATAATAAAGCATGAAACCATCGTAAAACGAGGGTAGGGGAGGAGAGCGCTGAGAAATAATGGACACCAGCAGTTTTATAGTATCTACTATTTTATTATTCCATTTTATATTTGAAAAGAACAGGCGTTTATGAAAATTATTAATAACTAGCAGCAAAAAACATATACGGAACCTGAATAAATAAATATATATATATTTTATTATATATATATATATATATATAATTAAAAAAAATTGTGCTTTTTTTATATACAACTTAGAATGGCAAAGCTGACGGCCCACCTGATGGAAAGTGGTAACCGTCGCCTATAGATATGAGCAGTACCATGGACATAACAGAGTATACTGTTTCGCCCATGACACCCCCCATGCGTTGCCATTCCTGAGGACTCAGGTGTTATTACGACACTCACGGAAAAGGAAGAAGTGACCTATTCTATATCCATATCTATATCTATATACATATTACCGTGAAAGTCCCGACATAGAATGGGCCATCCCTTTCTTTGTCATGGGTGTCGTAAGAGGCGGCTAAGGGGAACTTATGATGGAGGGATGAGGAACAGCGTCCTTTTTAAAACATCTGTAAAAACCTAACTGCGGTTGCCAACCTCCTGCCAAGCATGCCAACTGGCAAAACTCCCCTTGTGGGGAAGGCTTATGTTCAGCAGTGGACAGTTAACGGCTGAAAATAATAATAATAATACATATTAATGGTGCCTACATTACTCACCTAACGTTCTTTTTACCTATCCATTTATTTCACTAAACTAACATCGAAAACATTTTCTATAAAGGTTTGCAACACAGATTGCTCAATCGGAAGTAATCTCGGCCAAATCCGGCGACCGTTGATTCGATTCCGGGCTAATGTCCCCGTACATATATACAAAAGTTATTTATAACACTCCACGGTAAAGGAAAAGCGTGCGGAAACAGGAACATCTGGAATCGGTACTGTTGGAGATAATAGACCTGTCGTGTTGTGTGATATATAGATATAATATGTTATGCAAATAATTCTCATAATAGATATCATTACCACTATACGCGTTGTGACATAGTGTGGATGAAAGACCACTGGAACCAGAATAAAATAATCATCATGTCAGTTATTAAATGACCTCTGCTGAACACAGATCTTCCCCTTTTAAGAAACTTTGCCAGTAGTTACCACGCTGGGCAGATGGGTTGACAACCGCAGTTAAGATTTGACGATGTTTAAAGAGAGACGCTGCTGTCCTTTTCTCGGCCATTTAATTGCCTTCAGTTGCCTTTTACGACATCCACAGGAAAAGGAAGGGTGGCTCATTCTATACCGGAACCACTAGGCTAGAAAAAATAATAAGTGAACATAATTTTCAAGTCATCTGTATTTTTTATATGTAATTACTTTACAAGATTATCTCATCAAATGTAAACCGATTTTGGTAATTCTTTTTAAAAAATGATACTTTTATATAGACTCCGTATTAATTGTAAAATAACCGAAGTCTCAGGGTTTCTTTGCTGAAAAGAGAACTGTTTCGTAGCTAAACTTCCTTGTAGACATACGAATCCGCATCATAGATTTAAATATTCGATCTGATGTGTCTACGAACGACTAGATGTTTCGTAGACAAAACATATCTATCATCGATGTATCGTCGTATTTTTTCTAAGAAATAATGTGTATTTCTGTAGAATTTGATTTTGATTGGAAAAATCTAATTTTAGGTGAGAATAAAACAATAAAAAAATAACTTGTTTTCTCGTTCAAATAACGAAGAGTAATCGGTCGTTGAAACAAAACGCCAGCAAAGCTACGTCTTTGAAGTCCCTTGTGTTTGGAGATAATATTTACTTGGGGACTGTTGTGTTTTTATCAAACAAACGTTATAAAAAGGAAACGGTTCGTATTTGCACATGAAAATATTTATTGTGGTTTTTTTTTTGTCTAAAATATTTCGACCTTTTTTATTTATACTTGTAACGTCTGCGTGGGAATCACTGTTCTACTCGTAATTCTGTTACGAAATCGCTGTAATTGTATGACTGTGATTCAATTTAAAGGGCGAAATATCAGCCGTTATCTATCAACTGCCATAAGGAAAGGGACTATTCCTTATGGCAATTTACCATTGGGATAATTTAACTAATAGTTGCCACGTTTAGCAGGTAGATTGGCAACCGCAGTTTGCGGTGTCCAATCTACCTGATAAACGTTTTATGACGTTTAAAGAAGAATACTGCTGTCTATCCCATCGACACTTAAGATCCCTAAGTCGTCTCTTACGATACCCACACGAAAGGAAGAGGTGACCTTTTCTATGCCTAGATCACACGGCAGAGAAAGAGAGTGTAGCATATAACAGTGCAATTATTACGTACAAAAGTGGAACGTCTTATTCTATATAAATGATAACATATGAGAAGTACCATAGGAATCACAATTTATTCTATAATCTCCATTATAATTACATCAATAAGTGATGGTTACCACTTTTCATCAGGTAGTGGTTTTGGTAGTTTCTGAAATATATACTATAGGTAATACAATACTATACTAGAACTAATATATCATACATATATCGGTTACGCCTATCTCCCATATATCTAGATATATTCATAGCATATATATCCTAAAAATATTACACTTCATCGAAAATTGGCTAATAAAGGTATCGCGTAATATAAATAATTAATATTATATAGGGAATGTTTAATACTGTTTATAGTCAAGTAATATTCTCAAACTCATCAAAGGATTAATATTGAAACGTGAGATTGTGATAATATTATAAAATATAGGGATTCGCGTTTATTTATATATACTCAAATTATTACGAAAACTTACAAGTTTGACTGTTACTTAAATAAGATGTAATTGAGAATAACTATTATATGGGGTTTCTTTACGTGATAGAATCTGAAACGAGGATATCCGTAAAAGAACCAAAGTAACCGACATAGCCCGAAGGATAAGCAAGCCGAAGTGGCAATGGACTGGTCACATAGCTCGAAGAACCGATAACCGATGGGGAAGAAAGGTTCTTGAGTGGTAACCTCGTACGGGCAAACGCAGTGTAGGACGACCCCCCCCCTAGGGTAAAGGGATTGTAAGCAATGGAGTTTGATAGCGCCATTGCTTGCAATATGCCCTATTAGGTCGAGCTCCACGTGGTTCCCCCTGGAAACCATCGTGGATAATTCTTGTTGAATTCGTCACGATGGACTAACTGACCTACTTCATCCTCACCTATCATCACTCACTGGTGCCGCCGGTGTATACCGATAGCGCGGGGGGGTACCATTCCATTATCACCCATTAAAAAAAGACCCCCCCCCACTAGATGGAGTGGATGACGTTAAATTCATTGAATAGAGTCAGTAGATACAGATAGCTCAGAACCGTTCCTTGATAGTGTATGGGGGAGGCCTATGTCCAGCAGTGGACGGATAATGGCTGAAATGATAATGATTATAAATATATAATATACGTACGCATATACGCGAGAGAGGAATAGAAAAGCACAATTTTGCTCGATTGAAAATAACGCACTATTTTTGAAATAAATAAAATGAAAAGCTGTTACTGCCAATACTATTTTATATTCTACCCCTATAGATATTGAGTATTGATTTCCGGTACAATAATTTAATTTCAATACTCGCGTGTTGTGAGCGTGTCTAAGGCTTCGAGCCTGACATGTTACCTACATGAAGGTTACCTTTCAGACTAATTTGATATAGGTGAAAGTCTACGCACGCGATATTTTTGTGCCTATCGAATGTTAAATAAAAGATCACGTTCTGTATTTTCGCCTTTTACTCATTGAATATTCTAGCAAATGTGAAGGTATATCTCTATGTATCTTAAACTCCCTAACAATTTAAGCTCTAAAAATATGAAACGTTTTATAAGTAAATTGCAATGTTCAAAGAAACGTAACGAAAGTTGTGTTAAAATTTGCTAGAAATTGTATATTTTATTCTATCAAAAAAGATAGACAAAATTACATGAAATAGTAAAATAAATTTTTTGTACATGACTGTGTATTTTATTACAATAATTTTCGCTTTACAATTCAGAAATTAAAGAAATTTTTCTCAGGCTATTATTATATTATTCTTTTTCAGAATATTTCAAACAAAATTTTTTTCTAATCGACGCGGCTTTAATTTCAGTACTACGATAAAGGAATTTCTATTTTCGTAAATTTCTGTGATATCTCTAAGTCTACAATCATAGAGCTCGACAATACTCCTATAGTTTAGCTACTCTGATTTTCGATACTTCAGTTTATTGCTATAAAATGAAGAATTGGACCTAACGGAAATTAATCGATAAAATCAAATTATGACCGAACGAAGACGATGATGCTAATCAAATTAACGCAAAACTCTGTGGTGAGATTCTGTCAAAAATACAATAACTATTTCTTTTGTTAATAAAAGACGATTCTTTATAGTTAAAATGCGAAAATTGAGATGAACGTATAGTTTGGTAATAGAAAACATTAAATATTACTCATATTATCAGAGTAAGTTTGATAATAGCTTCAGGAACAGAGAAGTTAAGAAGTAATAGTTTGTCTAGGTTCTTATCAACTTTTATACTTTAACTTTTTTATATCAACCAGAGGGAGACTTTGTACAAAAGTCGATTGCTTGGGTACCTCTGTCCCATTCGTGTTTCAACCGTGAAGCAGTTGTGTTTGCATGGCTGTGTTTCGGTTTGAAGGGTGGGATATGGTGTGAATTTACTGGGTACAGAGGAATAACACCTGAGTCCTCAGGAATGGCAACGCATGGGGGGTATCATGGGCGAAACAGTATACTCTGTTATGTCCATGGTACTCTTATCAACTTTTATATAAAATGAAACAAAAAAACTGTAGTAAAAAAAATATGTCTGAACTAGCAATCCGCTCCATTACGATCGCCGCCCAAGTAAGATCTTATATAAAATATAGTCCATACTACTTGCTAAATAAGTAGCTTTCTATA